CTACACAAGTGATATAAAAAAAAACTGAAGTACTTAGATATGATCATCAGCCTATTAATGTCCCGACTGCTAGTGCACAAGCCTTTCGTATGAATGGAATAAGGAGAATCGCCGAAGATCCACTAAGCGGGGACAGTGCAAAGATGGGTGCTAGTGATAAAACCTTAGAGCTTGTAAATTTTTGGTAACCTATTACTGATTATTGCGAAAACTTCGCAAATTAACTTTACTTCCGCAAACGTATACTACTACACACACTAAATGAAATATTGAGTTCGAAAACAAATCTAACGATAGAATTTCCTTTCACAGTTATCGTTATCAAGACGAAGATGGCTCCGGCAACGAGATACCAAGCAACGTGAACAACAACAACTCGCCGCCCGCCGTGCCGTACGACAAAAAGCTCAAACTCGACATGACCTCGCGCAAATACTCCTCCGAAGCTGAAGTCGACACAGAGAACGGCGGCGACCTCATAGGGAAACTACTCGGCATACCCGACAAGACAATCATCAACAAACTGCTCTCCTCCGCCGACGAAGCCGCCAAATTCTTAGGTGTCAACAAATGAGAGTACGCTTTAGTCCTCGTGACGCCAGCCAGACTCATATTGGCGCCGCGCGGACTAAAATTACCAGTCCCAACGCCAGCAAGGAACGCAGCCGTTCAAATAACGTGTACAACGCCATCTAGCAACGAGTAGTTGAATAAGTTTTATTACGCGCATAAACTGCGCCGATATATTTTTTGTTAGTGTTTTTTTTTATTTTGGATAGGTCATTAGGTGCCTTCGAATGCCTTGATTAAATAAAGTGAATACCGTCCTTTTCTGCCTTAGCATAGAATTAAGAGCTTCTTGTGTGGGTGACGAGCAACGAATTTTTTTTGTTTATTTTTTGATAGTGCCAGTCAAACGAAGTACATTTTTATAGATTTTAATTTGTACCTAGTCTAAGTAAGTAGATAACTACCTATCCTTAAACTGCTATGAATTTTAAATGTGTGTAAGCACACTTATTAATGTAATCTTAGGTCAAGGTAGTGTCCTTATAAAAATAACAGCACCAAATCATCAACCATAACTTTTATCAAGCCAAATCCAGCTACATTTTGCATTTCCATCTCTAGTCGTGTTTTTTTACAATTCTCAATCGAAACCACGGCTTATGATCTGTCATCGATTCATTTTATACTGTCTTATTACAAAGCATGGCTTGTACATTTTGTAAAACCCTTTTTGTAGATGCAAATATGATCGAAATTCTTTTACGTCTCTTTTCTCGAAATTCTTTTATCATTTTTCACCCTCCTACTAGTTATTTTTGTGTTTTCAGTCTTCTTTTGTAATAAGACAGATAATGTTAAATGCCAAACATTCATAGTAAATCAAAAATTATCTAGTCACAATCTTATTTCTTATGTCGATGTTAAGAATAAATAAAAACCAATTTTATGGATTTATTAATAAAATTTTACTTGTATAAATACTTTAATACATATTTGTAACTAGGTCATGTTGGACTTAACCTCAAGCTGTACTACCAATGAATAGGTGTAGTTTTACTGTAAACATAGTACCTTTGTATCCAATTTATCTATGGCATATAATAAATGTTAAGAATAAGTAATTCTAGAAACTGTGTTCTATGCTTTTTCTAATGTATTCTCAATTCTTTTTCAATGGCAATTCTTAACTAAATTAGTAATTATTGTAACGTAATTTTGTTTGCTCAAATTCATGGCATTTCTTTAACGACAAAGACTATAGATTATAAATGTTTTTTTTTTTTATATTGTAAGAAAATGTAGGATCTCTTTTAATGGACAAAACAATTATTTTCTAGTAAGTAAATAATAATAATCGAGGTGTTATTCCTATAAGTTTTCCTTAAAAAAAAACAGGTGGAATATTATTTACCATCATGGCAAATTTTGTTTGAAAAAACTATTTCTTAAACATTATAAAAAATATAAGAGTTAATACCTGATATGTTATTAAAAAGAAGAATATATTATTAATTTTATTATTATTTAAAAAATTCTAATGGTGCAGCAATATTATATTTTACTGAGAGTTTTAAACTCTTAATAGGTTATTTTAGGTTAATTATTATCGGTCTCCGTAACGTGATGGATTGACGAATCATACGCTAGTATACCTAAGTCCCGATTGCTTTGTATATATTTTATGCTAACTAGACGTACCAAATATACCTTATTTTAAACCTCTAAATATTAAAAGTGTGTATTAAAATATAATATACCTAAACGTAATAAAATATAGGTAGGTATTTAAGTATGATACAATTAATGAAAAAAATACAGTAATATAAATTCAACACATACAATTTATTATGTGAAATGTTAGACAGTTAGGTTTTGATTTAGCAATAACATTAATTTTAAATAAATGTATCCTAAGTACCTAATTTAAATTAAAAAAGGTATACCAAAGTAAGTTGTAAACTGTAATTTGTAATAATTTTTGAAGAAAATCCTGCTTCATGTCAATTATAGATAGTTGGAAAAATACAATGGTTTAAATGATGAATTGTAAATTATATTCGTATTTATATTAATTTTGGATTTCTATCAATGAGTTGCTTGTATCTAATACGGCCAGTAGATGAGTTTTTATTTTCTTTCTAAACATAATTTTAATATATTGAGTGGTTTGTCTAAAATACGATGTTACATAAAATATATATGTTTAAGTAGAAATCTCGGTAATTAAAATAAACAGTAGGTAATAAGATTAGTTTAAGAATGTGGCAACACCGCTTGGCCTTTCAATAGTAGTGTTCGTGTGTTTATGCTCTTATTAAATAAGATTAGAAATTATTATAAATTAAATTTTACCAATTATAAAATGCATGAATAAATAGTAATAATTATTATATAATACGATGTTTACTGTTCACATATTTGCCTTAAATTACTCTTTTGCAATATTTGTGTGTGTCGTTTTTAAAAAGTTTCTTTGTGAAACACGTAACTACGGTGTATTATTCAATAAACATCTTTTATTGCTATTTTTGTTCTTTTTCCATTTTCCTCACTGAAATTTCACCCAAAATAGTTACTTTCTACTAATTCTTTAACCCTTGATTACATATTAAAAGAGAACTACATACCTACACACAATAATATAATGTTAACCATAATTACACAATCAGATATTTTATTTTATCTAAGCATACGCCTATTTTAAAAATAACAAGAGTTACCGTTATTTAATTAATAAAATAAAAAGCATGTTAAAATGACAACAGTAGTAAGTACCTAGGCTTAATGAAAACATAAGTAGTGCTCAGTAGTTCAATATAATTTTGAAATATAGTAATATAGATAAATGTATTCTAAGTGGCAAAAACCATTTTATGTGAATCGAAATGTCGACAATAGGTAGTTAACAGAAATATTTAACCTGAGGCACTATTCTCGTCTACAGATCAGTGGTATTTTCTCTTTGAGAGGCTGTAATGTCATGATCATTGTGTATTTTTGAAGTGAAACTTCTTTATCGGCGTTGGAAAAAAATTTACCGTCACATTTTTCGGTTACGCGTCACATTTTTCCGTTACGCGCCATCTTTTTTTATATTAATAGTTGATAGCTGAATGATCACACTGTCGCCGGCGAGAACTCTCTCTACTCGTTTGTAGCTGAGTGACAATAGTTATTAAAGATAAGACTCGCTCAGCCAAACTCGCATAGCGATACTCGCTCAGCGGTACTCGCTCAGCGATACTCGCCCAGCGATACTCGCTCAGCGATACTCGCTCAGCTATACTCGCTCGGTTAAGCTGGCTTGGCTGTCAAAAGCCGTGCGCGTGCATTTTAACTCGGGACTGCCAATTCGTTTCTAGTTTCTACTCGCTTATCGTTCATCGTCGGAGGTGGAACATGTGCCTTAGATTACTGAGCCGTGTAATCATAACAGTTTCATAGGCAGTAATTTGTATTCATGTCTATGATAATAAAATCCTTTTGTTTAAACTTTATCTAATTTAACTTTATTTAACCAATTTCTGGAAAGTTGCATGTAGATCATTTTTCGAAAAATAAGGCCATAAAGAAGTTTCACTTCTTACGTGTGTACACTAGTACACGCACACATTTTTTACTATATTAACATATCCGGAATCGAACGCAGGGCCTCAGAAATGAGACATAGTATGAAAATAGCTATCCTATATTTTGAAAACTAACAATTTCCATTAGCGAAAAGTCCAAATTATCCACCTGACACAATGGCGAAATTACGATTATTATTACTAGCTTTTGCCGCTGCACGTCGTCATGACAATGCCACACATTGTTGTGGTAAGCGACACCCAAGGATGCTCATCTTTTTATTTTAAGAGCGCCCTCTATGCTATGAGCATATAAAATCTTATAAACAAACATGCAATATGTTATGTTTCTACTCACCACAAGATGGCAGCACTTACAGAACAGTGTAGGTGAAATCTAAACTATAAAATATAGGTAGGAATATTGTTTGTTAAATAAAATCAGTAATAATTGTAATAAAAATAACTATTGATTTAGCAAACGAGTTAAACTTATATTGGGACTTCTATGGTAAAATAAAAATATGAATTATGAACGCATCTGAAATAGAACAACCTCAAACTCGACCAATGGAGATAAGGTGATACCATAATATTAACTATTTCCATTAATTCCGGTAATAAAAATACTTACAAATAAATATATTCTAAATATTGTTCCGTACTAAAAGCTTAAAGTATAATGAATTTCATTAAATTATTTTAAAACAACTAGGTATGGCCTTAATTGTTTTTATTGAATGAGGAGAGTGACTTTTGATGACTGTAACAAAAAGTTTTAATTTTATATCAAATTATTGATGTGCATTTAATTGACTTTAGTATAAGAAATTTCATCAAAATCAAATCGTATGAACTTGTAAAATATTAATAATCTAAACATGAACTTTATTTACTGCTGTCCATATTTCTTACCATGAATAATAGTGAAGTGATTCTAAAGAAAAACATATTATAATTTCTTTATATTATTAAAATAATATGTGTCATCGATCAAAGTTTCTTTTATTGTGTTGTTCATGTATCATGCCATTTAAAAAACAGATTTTATTTATTCGTAGATGTACGTAGGTAGTTCTAATAATAAAGTTTTGTAAAAAGATAAGGCAAATGTGTAAAAGGAGCATGGCAACCCAAATAGCGAATGAAGGAATTTGAAGAAATAGAAAGAAGTCAAGTCGCTAATTTATGTTAGACGGCGTCTTTAATTTTGTATCACAAAATCATAACTTTTGGTATAATTTCGAAGATTAAACGGTGTCTTGGTTAATTTAGGATAGTTAGTACGGTAAGTGTGGAGCTTTAAAATAAATATAATAGCTAATTATGTATTATTTTATGCTTCTTTTCTATGCATTTCACATAGTGACGTTTATATTGTTGCAGTCTTTCTATCCGTATCGAATTAAAAATCTATTTATTTTTATGTTTTCTAAACAAGCATTGAATCCAAGGGATGTTGTTGTGATATTATTTTTATATAAATATAAACAAACTGTTTTATTTACACACGTAAATTTGATTGCAGTGTTAAAAGTAACCAATATGGGCGATCAACAGTTCTTCTTGAAATGGAACGATTTTCAAACGAATATGGTCACATCTTTTAGGCATTTGAGGGACGAAAAAAGCTTTACAGATGTAAGTATTTGGAACACATTAAGTAACCCTCCCTGGTTTATTTGTATAGTTGTTGATGTTACATAGCTATTAATATTTTTAAACACTTACTGAAATTTATATTTCATGTATCTCTTGTTTCATAATTTCTATTATATTATCCTGAACATTAAGTTAATAACAGATATATACCTACTTCAACATTCAGTTATCAACCTCCCATTTTTTATATTGTTACTATCAGATTAAAATACTCACTTTATTAAATTTAACTTTTATTGTTCTAAAATCAATTTCCCAAAACCTTTCCTATCATCCTATTTTAATATGGGCCATGTTAAAATGACAAATTGAAAAGAATTAATGCTTAGCATAAACAACATATTTGCCAACGGAATATAGTTTTTAGGATAAGTATTTTATTTTGAGAATCCTTGAAAAGTGTTCCTTTTAATATTGCAAAAGGGAAATTTTAATTTTTCAGGTGACATTAGCGTGTGAAGGACAAACATGTAAAGCGCACAAAATGGTCCTCTCAGCGTGTAGTCCATACTTTAAAAGCTTATTAGAGGTGAGGAAGTATTGTCGTACTCAAACCAATAACAATTGTCAAATATTAATGTCTCGTATTTATCAGACAAACATCTGCCCCCACTGGAATTCAAATCTGGGACCTCTCGAATAGTCTACACCTTGCAGCCCAGTGTACAAACCACTCTGTCATGTAGGTTGTCAAATATACTATGTTTCATATTATAGCGGATGCAAATAGCAGTTTTAAAGCAACCTTTGCCATTATAATGCTTAAGATTGGCATTGCAATCTTTGTATTTAAAATCAAAATGATAATGGGTTGTGAAAGAAAATAGGATAAAATAGCAGCCATTGCTTCATCATCATCATCATCAGCCTATTAATGTCCGCACTGCTGGGGCACAGGCCTTCCCTACGGATGGAATAGGGAGATTGGGCCATGACCCACCACGAGGGCCCAGTGCAGATTGGTGGGTACTAACGACTGCAAATGCAGCCGGGACCAACGGCTTAACGTGCCTTCCGAAGCACGGAGGAGCTTGAGATAGTAAATTTTTGGTCACCCATCCAATGACCGACCACTGCGAAAGTTGCTTAACTTCAAGGACCGCAGCCGAACGCGCTAACCACTTGTGCCATCGAGCTCCTCTTTGCCATTGCTTAGTACCTAATATTAATGAATTTGTGAATTTTACGAATTTCATGAACTTTTGTGACAGCTAAGGGTAAATACCCAGGCCACATTAAAATAATCATGATCTTGGAGGAAACAGTTAATATTGTGCATAATAACAAAAACAAATTTCTTCCTGTCTACCCACATTAATAAAAAACCTTTCTCCCAGTCTAGTGTAATTTGATTACTGATTGCAACACTACTATTTGGCCAATCTATATCTCCAGTTCTGAATTGTAACCCCTCGGTTACACCAAGAAGCAAGTCATATACTAGTTTTACACAAAGCTTGTAGGATACTTGTTGTGACATTCCTTAGTTTACACTGCATAGACAATGAGTATCTTTACTAGTATAAATCACTATTTCCTTGACATCTTTAGTTTTCTAACAAGTTTGATGCAAGTATTGTATACTACATGTCTTATACATGTATATAAGTGTGAACAAAAAATTAAGACATTGTATACATATGTATTATACAACAACCTCTGTGGTTGAGTGGTTTATACACTGGGTTTCATGGTGACGCCGACTCGAGGGTTCGAACCCGGTGGGGGCAGATGTTTGTGTGATAAATACCAGCATTTGTACTCCAATCATGAATGTGTAATATGTATATAAATACACTTATATATGTACAGTATATGTATTCTATCCGGTACCCTAGTATCCCATAATACAAGCCTTACAGTGCTTACTTTGGGGCTAGTCTAATTGGTGTGAGTGTTGGAAATATTTATTTATTTATTATTATACCTTGGTGTAAATGAGGGGTTACAATTACAATTGACTAAAACAATATTAAGTCTTATTATATTTTTATATTAAGCATTTACCTGGTAGATGTTTAAAGCGAAAGAAATTTTACTAGTTACAATTATTATTCAACTTGGTCTAGGTTTTAGCTGGGATTCGAACCTGCATCTTCCACTATCTGGGCTGAAGATGCTGGTTCATATCCCATATTTTATCTGAAAATTTTCTTTAATATTTAGTCTAAAATAGTACATTATCACCTAACAGAGGGTTGCCAACCTCAAATTTAAAAAAAACAGGATTTGAAGTTGGAAAAACCAGGGCTATTCAGTTTAAAAACAGGACAAATTATTAGAGTTGCAATAGTTAAATAAATATCTAGTGAAAACAGGTGAAATGAAATTCAAGTAATTAAAATAATCACATGTAGCGTAAAAAATTGAGAAGAGGCGCGCGAATTTTAAAATTTAAAAACGCAGGACGCTGCTTAAAAACTATTCAGCACGTCCCAGGACATTACAAAAACTAGGACATGTCCTGGGAACACAGGACGGTTGGCAACCCTAACCTAACAGCATTGTAGACGGATTCTGAATGTAAACATCACAGGATGTTGTATTTGGTATGGAATCTAACACGATTATAATGGGGAGGGGCTGTGATTGCGATGTTTGCACAGTTATTCACCAATATTTAACGGATAGGAGAGATAGTAACTTTAAACTATGTTTTAACTTACTAAATTTGACAGAAGTAATGAAAATAAACGATTAAATTGATTTTAGTCTTGCTTGGAGTTGAATATCTGTATAGCAATGAATGAATTGAATGAATACTGTCATATTAAAAATAAAGGGCAAAAAGGGTATTGAACTATTAATTGTAAGCGGGTTGAAGCAAATCCAAACTCGCTTTGGGTTGTCTTATATTGAAATTTCCTACTATTTGTCGAAGATTTTTCTTGAATTTAGAAGGTCCAATTATCATCTTATATTTATAATTCCAATTATCATCTTATATTTATAATATTTACGTGAATTTTACATAATGAAATAATTTTCGCTGACCAGATTGTCCTTATTGCAATAAATTTATATGCGCTTACTGTCCCCTCTGCATCTTTGTTATGTTTTGAGTTGAATGTATGTATTTGGAATTCTTATTCAACATACGTACATACAATATGCATTGGCTATTGCCAAGCGCTCATGTAGTGACAAAGGGTTTTTTAATGGTCAAACATAAAAATTTCTAAAGTATTAAAAAAAAATATTGTATTGTATTTATATTTTTAATCCCAGTGAACTGAAATGAAATGTAAAGTCATTTATTCAGTCTAGGCTGTTACAAGCACTTGTGTAGGTCAAGAAGCTACGCCATCGGTTCGCAAAACTAGGGCGGGAGACCTTGTACTGTGAAGAACCGGCAAGAAACTCAGCAAGGGCTGTTGTTTTCTCCCTGTATTGTTATACACAGAGTCGTTAAGTTGAAAAATGACTTCAGAGATCTATCTGAAGTCACCTTCCATTATATCATTTAGTTAGATTATAAATATATAGTTACAATAAATTTTATAGTCAACATTATATTTAGTATATAGGAAGCGGCATTAGATAGGTACAATATTACTGTTATCAAAAATGCCTAATACCCATCAAATAACAAATTACAAGAAACACTATGTCCATGCATTACGAACATTTAGATAATCATCAACTTTATAATAGCCCATATTCATAAGAGTATTCTTGATCTGAGATTTAAATTTGGTCAGTGGAAGCTCAATCAGACAGTACTCAATAACTAGAAGCTATATTAGTGATAAGGCCTAAAACCACACAATATACACAAATGCTTGCTCCAATTTACCTGGACTCTTTGTCTCTTTATCTATACTGTTTCGTCTGTTAGGTTATGAATGACTATTATTTTTTTCTAAATGGCTTCGCACGGCTTGTGCATTTAGCCAATGTCAAGTGTTAAAATGTTCACAAATACTATAAGTAATAAATCAAGTCCAAAGTATGTGGCAGTCAAGTCCATCCCCCTTTCCCTATGTTTCAGTAAAAGTGTGAGGATTTACTGGAACCTCCCCGTGGACTTCTTGAGGGAACCTCGAAAGAGACTCCGCTATTTTGTTTCACTTGCCAACACTTGTGCATATTCCCAAACACTTAGTGGTTAATAATCCACCATTATTAGACACTAACATCCGCCACAACATATTTTTTAACAAGAAAAACAATTACAAACAGCACCCCCTGGTTTTGGTCATCAAAATTAGCTTTTTTGAAGTTATACTTCTTTAGCCGCGTTATGAAAAAATTATGAGAGTGAAATTTTCATCACTGTAACACAAAATTTTAACATAATGAAGTTAGCCGCGGGCGCGTTATTTGTAATATTTTATTTTCCAAGTGACCGTGGGGCAGATTTGAACAAAGCAAACAGGGCAGATTTGAACGGGACATTGAAATGAAATGATGTGATATGAAATGAAATGACATTATTATTAATTTATTGTAATTAATTATTTGCATGCAATTAAAAACTAATTTTAAACGATGCCAAAGAAGGATAACTTCTCACGCGCCTACATAAGTACACGCACCCATTTTTTTTATCTCTCTGCCCCTCTGCCCTGCCTTGACTCAGGCAATATAATACCTTTCTTCCGTAACAACACAAGCTGCCTATAAATTTGATGGTGTAACAACAGGAGAACCCATCGAAGCACCCCATAATAATCCTGAAGGACGTGTCGTACCTGCACCTGCAGGCGATCCTGGAGTTCATGTACGCGGGCGAGGTCAACGTGTCGCAGGAACAGCTGCCGGCCTTCCTCAAGACCGCTGCACGGCTTAAGGCAAGTTTAATTAAATCTAATATATAAAATTAGCAAACCAGTGAACAAAATGTTAACCAAAACCTGATTTCTCGAAAACCAGAAGTGCTACGTTACTCAAATCCGGTTTGTAGTCTTATCAGACTATTCTTAACTTATAACTTAAATATTCTCTTTATCTATCTCTTACGGTTTGGCCGCTGAAACAGCACCACAGACAGACGAACTTGTCTAATAGATAAGAGATTCTCGTGTCGCGGTGTTTGTGGTTAAACTCCTCCGAAACGGCTTTCCCGATTCTCATGAAATTTTGTGTGCATATTGGGTAGGTCTGAGAATCGGACAACATCTATTTTTCATCCCCCTAAATGTTAAGGGTAATCCACCCCAAATTTTTTTTTTCAATTTTCAATATTTTTTTTTTATGATACAGCATTAGTAAATACATATAACCCTGAATTTTCAACCCTTTACAATCAACCCCTATTTTTTTATGGCGGTACGAAGTTCGCTGGGTCAGCTAGTCTAATATATAAAATTCTCGTGTCAGGGTGTGCTTAATTGAACTTCTCCGAAACGTCTCCACCGATTTTCGTGGAATTTTATATGCATATTCAGTAGGTCTGAGAATCAGATAACATCTATTTTCATCACCCTAAATGTTAAGAGCGGTTCACTCTTAATTTTTTTTTTCTAGACAAAATTTTTTGGTTTAATTTTTTATACATCATACAAAAATACGAACCACCAACCCCTATTTTTTATGGCGGTACGAAGTTCGCTGGGACAGCTAGTTTTATTTATAAATTTATAGTCAGACAATGTAGGCCCATAGATACATACCTTAAAGTCTCACATATATCTTTATATATATAATTCTTCTGTGAGTGTGTATGTCACTGAACTTCTCTTAAACGACTGGACCGATTTTGATGAAATTTTTTGTGTGTGTTCAAGGGGATCTGAGAATGGTTTAGATTCACAATTTTGTCCGCTGGACAGCCCCTATTTTTTTAGGGCGGTACGAAGTTCGCTGGGTCAGCTAGTAGAGATATAAAACATTATCATTAGTAAATAAACTTAATTCTTATGTAAATAAAGAAAACTAAATGATTACTGATTTAATTTGTTAGTGTATTAGGTTATTTAATAACTTCGTTCATTAACAATTTGTTTGTTGCCCTGAATATGAGTACCAATGGAATTTGGGTCCATCCTTGCCCTAACCTGATGAGCCCTGTATGTATCAACCGAAGTAACACTAACCAAAGGTAGTCTTTAATTTTATTGTAATTAAGGTTTTTTTCATTACTTTTCCAAACTGGTTTCCCCTCCAAACAAAGCTGAAGATCCACTATAATAAGTATAATATAATCCTATACAACATTATGGTGAATTCATACTAGTGCAGAGACGAAGCGCATCGAAGCGATTTTCTGAAAAGTACCACAGCAAATTCACAGTAACAACGTCTCTACGCCATTACTTCAATAAATAAATATTTAAAAGTTTGTATATTTATGTCTCAACCATAAAAGAAAAATAAGTCTTAAAAAATAGTTTTGTAAAATAATATTTTCTAAATTTATGTAACGTTTTGTAATTTGTGATCCGTCCTTGTATGCCCGAATTCAAATTTTTATGTGTAAGAACACTGAAACATAAGGCGAATCTGAAGTGAGAGCTGGCAACACATTTCGATAGAAGGCCAACAGTCACCCATAATGTAAAGCATTAAATAAACTATTTTATTATTTATTTTCAAAAAAATACTAAAACCGCATTAAATTAAAGCAAGAAGGGAAGCCAATGGCCCCTAAATATATTCAACAAGGAGCTGCGATTGCAGATGAGTTACTCGATTTAAATTATGTCGATATGACACGCCATTTTGCCAAGCCTGCTCTCACGAAACTTTCTTTTTCCTTGTAATGTCATAATTTAAAAATTAGATCTTTTCAATCCTAAAACGAGAAAGATGGATTAACATAGGAAGGTAACCAAACCAATGTATTAAAGGTTATCCACTAACAAAAAATTAATGGTATGGACTTTGAATCACAATAAATAGGTAGAAAAGAAAAGGACGTCTCATTAAACTCCTATGTCAAAACTGGGCTTGCGATTAGAGGTTCGATGTTCCCCTGAAACTATTCCGGACATAACCTGGAGATGTGACTTCCGGGCGCCTGTTGACCTTACACAATAAGGAGTCGCAAGTTCGGCAACCACCAGCCTGCCATCACCTCCAGCTTCTTGGCTTAACTATCTTATTATCATTAACCTTTCAATTTAAATCTTTTTTTTTTTACCCAACAACACCCTTTTTTTGTGACGCAGGCAAAACCTCTATTTACAGATGATGGTGCCTTTAAGAGACACGCTATCTCCCCATTGTAATGTGCATATTCCTTCTGAAATACAAAAAAGACGAAGAAAAAAGACGCGAATTCTGCTGATTTATCTGCTCAGAAGGAATATGTGCATTACGTTGCGGAGATAAGGGTGAATTTGCTATGTTACTGTTTCTGAAATTCGCTTTGATGCGCTTCGACCTTGCGCTAGTATCTATTGACTGTTAGTTTTATTGTTACGGCACTCACCACTGTGCATATTTTTTCGTGAGGTATGCCATCTAAGCTCTTTTAGGAAACCCAGCAGTCCACACCTGTTAAACCAAATACTAAAAACTACTTAAAAATGAGGATCATTATCACTAGGTCAGAAAATCAACTCAAACAGTATAATGATCTAATAAGCTTTTTAGTTAATATACTTTTTAAATCATCGAAATCGGTTCATTCGTTGCGATTTTATAACTAATTTTATGATAGCCCATATTCACTGGCGGCCGAAACGTGTGACGCCACAGAGCTCGATCGTGGTTCACTCCGATCGGACTTCAGTAGCGTTCATAGCCCGCTCGCGCCCGAGTGCTAGAGCTCTGTGACGTGATAGCCACCACGCGGCCGTAAATTCGTTTAGTAATTTGGTCATAACTTCGTCAACATTTGTCGTAGAACAAAAATGTAACCACTGTGTTTTATGGAAGGAATCCTTAGCTCTATAAATCTGCATTCTCAACTAAAATCCTTACGGATCCTCATTCAAATAATTCATTCTGTAGCACGAATAAATATGAAAATAATAAGAGATTATTTTGATATACCAGGTGAAGGGCTTGGCCGAGCCGCCACCACAGATGCCCAGCATTAAAAGGGAAGGCTAACCCCACAGTGAATGAGGTTATCTAAAGACTCTAGTGACTACTGAAACACCAATGTAACATACTGACTGCAACTACACTGTTCACCGTTCACTTGAAGCTCGGAGGCACTTTATGTGACAAACACAAAAAATTTTTTTTTGTTTTCACACATTATTAGTTAATTATGTAAACCCAAAGCAACTTATAATAATTATACCACACAAGTTTATTCTTATTTTTATATAGATTTATAAAAGAATCGATTTTTCGGGCTACAAGTTGCCTCCGGTCTTCTAAAAAGAATCTCTTAACAAAGATCAAGATAAATATTTTACAATTGGACAGACAAGATCGGTCGCATTGTGGACGCAGTATTCACGCGTCTGAAACGAATAAACAACACTTGTTATAGAACATTATATAATATAACTATGCTGTAAACTATCACAATTATTGCCTTGGTGAATCGCAAATCTGTGTTTTTATTACTTTGTGTTATTTTTCCATGTGAAAAACACGGTTTTTCCCAAGTGTCTCGTATACGGACGACAAAAGAAATGTTTCTCTAATAATAATTCCAAACACTCGATTTAATATGAAAATGGTGTCGATTCTGGCAGGATTCTCTTAACTTAAAACTAAATTTAACATCAGTCTGTCCTTTTCATTCTGTATAGAGAATAACAGGGATACACTGTTGTCAAATTTAAGTTTAGCTTTAAAGAATCCTGCCAGAATCGACACCATTCTTTTTTTTTAATATACATTTACGGTTTATCTATATTCCAAACACTCGATTTAATATTAATTTAGCTTCTTATTTAATAATATACATTTACGGTTCATCAAAGCAATGTAACATAGTTGTTAGAATATAGTTCTGTTTGTAACATACATAATGCATTGATGTGATAGCATAGACAACTCTTAACAGCCGACTAACAGTTTCGCGCCTTCACAGTTACCTAACGACCAAAGTGTAAAAATATTAGAATTTATTGCCTTGTAATAACGTTGACATTGAAATATTAATAAGACTATGCTAGCATATCAATCGCCCATAGATCTATCCACCAACGGTTGCCTTACGATTATTTAAAGTTACGCTTAATTTTGTGTCAATTTTAAATATGTTACTGACAGACAGCTGTGTTTTATTCCCCTAAAAATTTTCAGGCGAGTTGTTCTCGGTAGAAGGCCATCGTTTTCTCATAGGAAAAATCAAAACCTTTTGCTCTACACGAAGAATCACATTAAAACGTTGGCGCGAGACAATGCCATTGATAAAAATCCATCATAAAAGAAGTTGTTGTTTTAAAACGTCTAAAAGAAAAAAAAAGGATGTGATGAATAATAAAAATATATCGATACAAAATTAAGCGTATCAATCGATAGCGTGACACTGCTTTAGTAGACTTAACTTAAATTGTTATCACGATTTCCTATGTGAAAATTTAATGAATAACTTAGTACCTCTGCGTGTTGTAAGTAAATTCATTGAATATAAAAAAAGTATTATCATTATAGAAAAGAAAAATGGTGCATTAACATTCATATTGTTCTATCACAAACAGCAAAATGAATAAAAAAAATGTAAATACATTCCCAATAATGAATACAATTGATGGAAAAGAATTTGTTTAATTTGATTCTACATGTTCAGTGGGTCTGTTTGTTGTCAATATTTTATCAATTTCAACCACTAAGGTTTCCGTTGATATAAAGTATTTAAAACAGACAGAACCATTCATTGATAAGCTAAGATAATAATGAGAGTTTTATTAATTTAAATAATTATTAAATACAACAATCTAATAATATTTAGTTTTGCATTTTTTACCTTTGAACACTTAAAATTGTCTTATAAATATTTTCATTTTATTCAAAATTAAAGATAGTTTCTTTGTGTGTGTGTGTTTTTAACAACACTGGGATAGGTAGTTATTCATTACAAAAACATCACGATTATTTATAAAAATATAAAGAATTTAAGTCGGCACAATATCCTATGCTTTTAAAATTACATAAGCAAGTGCTACAATTAATTCAAATCATTTATTTATTTTATCGATATTAATGAATCTACCTGCAACACTATAGACCATATCCTGTTTTTTCCGCAAGTTGTATAAGCGCTTTATTATTTTCTCTCTTCTCTTGAACTTCTGAGATCGAACGCTGTTACATTGTGTCTAGTGATTGGGATTGCCAACTTTAATATAAAAGTTACTTTAATATCAACTGTCATTGAATATTAATTATACGAGAAAATAATACTGTAGTAATAGATGTATATTACTATTTTATTATTATATATGAATGAGTGTAATGAAAATTGGAATTAATTATTTTTAAGTCACAGTATGACTATTATGGTGTAGTTGGCAACCCAATAACGTAGTACATGAGTTTAATTTGGTTTTAATATTGACACTGAACTTTTTACGTCAACGAGACGTATATTGTTAAAAGGCTTTTTTTGTGTTAACATATTAATACAAAACCAATCTTTTTTTTATATTTAATTGAATGTGTACAAATCAAATGTTTTTAAGCATTTATCGGTGACAAACATTTTTGTAATGGATAAAAAATTACGTGCTTTAACATTTTCTTCTGGTGCGATAAGTGTCATTGGTATTGAATGGTTGTAAGTTATGCGCATTATTTTATCTTTATTAGTCGTGTGATTTGCTAAATTTATAATGCATTTTTTTTATTATTTACGAGTTAAAACTTTGTAATATCTTGTCAGATTATTTGCTCGAATTAAAAAGTACCCATTATTTTATTTTGTTGCCAGTTAAAAAGAAAACTTTTAAAGAGTTCCCTTATAAAAAAAATGGTGTTGCAATAACAAATCACATGGCTTATGAGTGCAAGATTCGATGTATATGACGCGGAATATGTTTTGAGCGCAATGAAAGCTCTACAATCACTTTTTTTTTAACCTTACTTTTATCATTTGGGATCTCAATATTTCATCATAGTATTCCGTTCATGTCAACATATAATTGTGCTATATGTAATTAAGTATTCACTTAATTTTATTTTTCTTCGACCGTTTGTTTTTATTACTTTTTTTAACATATTTCTTTGGGTATATCACACGCGACGCATACATGAGTATATCGTATACAAATAAAAACCCATCACATTTAATTTAATATTATATTATATAAAGATCTATGTATATTGCAAAACACGTTTCCAAATAATATGTCTAACCTCACAATGTTTGAAATAAAATGATTTATTTATTTTATAATAATATCGGTTGCTAGATAAACCTGCGTTTGTTTATAAGGAGACTTAAGATGGAATCGGTCAAAGGCGATAAATGTTTTGAAGTATTAGTCGAATTCTTGTCTAGTTAAAACATTAAAACGGATTTATCTATTTTGCACTTTGTTAACATTCGTTACAGTAAAGTCTGTCGTGTGTGATCATACTATCAATATTTTTCCTTCCACCCCTTATAATAAGAAATAACGTATTTCTTAGCAAATATTGTATAAAATGTAAATCGAAATATTTTTAGACGACAGAGTAATGGTACGTGCTGAATCATTAATCAAATGGAAACATAGTTTTAATGAAATTATAAAAGATTTGTAATTTTTAGATAATACAGATATTAATAATTACTGCAATGCTGTCGTTTTATTTTGGCTAGCCTTCGAGACAGCGAGACGACTAACCTGTCGAAATAAATAAATATTTCCAACACTCACACCAATTAGCCTAGCCCCAAAGTAAGCACTGTAAGGCTTGTGTTATGGGATATTAGGGTAACGGATAGAATACATATACTGTACATATATAAGTATATTGTTATAGAAAATACATATTAAACATCCATGACTGGAGAACAAATGCTCGTATTCATCACACAAACATCTGCCCCACCGAGATTTGAACTCGGGACCTCTCAAGTCGGCGACACCATGAAACCCGACGTACAAACCACTCGGCCACGGAGGTCGTCAAACCTGTCTAAATCTCTCTCGACACGTCATTGTCAACGTGGAACGATGCTGTAAGTGCCTGGCGTTTATCATCATCATCAGCCTATTAATGTCCCCACTGCTGGGGCACAGGCCATGACCCACCACGCGGGCCCAGTGCGGACTGGCGGGTGCTAACGACTGCAGATGCAGCCGGGACCAACGGCTTAACGTGCCTTCAGAAGCACGGAGGAGATCGAGATGGTATTTTTTTTTGTTTGGTCACCCATCCAATGACCGACCACTGCGAAAGTTGCTTAACTTCAATGATCACAGCTGAACGCGCTAACCACCTGCGCCATCGAGCTCCTCAACTAAAAGAACTATACTAGTTAGATTTTCCTAAGGCTATGTATAAAAACCACCGATATAAATAAAAACTAATTTTTATTTATTTCAAATTACATATACAATTACAAAAATCGAAATTAACAAATAGTCAATAAAGTAGCACCGAAATAATAGAATAAAATAACTTTATTGAAACAATAAGTAGATCATTAAATAAATAAAATATAAAAATATACCCTTTGGTAATTCAAAGTATGCAAACAATCTGGAATGATAAATTACATTAAATGCCAATAAAATATGTCAGAATGTGTGTAACATTTACTACATTCTAAATATTGGAAATAACAATTAAGAAAAACCTATTCACATAACAAAAATATAAATGGAAAAATTGTATCTTTGGATTAAATAAAGTCACTTTTTAATACATATTAAAATATATCGTACAGAAACGACCAGCTACAATAAAGATAATTTATTGCAAGACAGCTTTTTCAAACCACGTAACATTATATTCACGTCTATCATAAAACAGTACCCCTAGCCCGAACCATTATCGAATTCGAATAGTTTGCAAACCGAAATGTCAATGTCAAATTTTGTATGGAAACTTGCACAGCAGCGGCACAAAGTAAGTTAACAGAACTAAAAATCAATACACATTTGACAATGACATTTCGGACTCGATTTCGATTCGAATTCGATATTGATTCCTGCTAAGGGTACAGAGCTAAATAAATGTATATAAAATATGAAAGTACAAATTTAAATAAATTTATTTTTCAAATAATATTCTCCCTCACTGGTATCTGTCAACTTTGGTGTAAACGTTTGGTCAAAAAATTACATACTTTACTAAATAAAAATAACATACATATTATATGGCAACATAATAGGAACATCAAAAATCGAAATGTTTTCGTTTTATCTTTGGTTAAAAATAATAAATTCGATAGCACTGAAAATGGCACTGGTTACAATGAAAATATTCATCTTAATAGCCAAAAAACTAGTCAAAATTTGCTATTCATCTAGCTAGCAACAATACAATAAATAAAAATTATTGCTAGATACTAGTTCTTATTTAAGCTAAAAACAAATAAATTTCGAGAAAGATTATTTAACACTCGATAAACACTAAATTACGATTGAAATATATATATATATATTAATAATAGATTAGGCCGCTTTTCTACTAGATTTAACACATACTAAGCAACATAAAAGTCCGCAATGGAATAAAGATTTCTCATATATTTTCAGGCAAGCCAATCATTTAACAAAACACTTGAAACTAGTTTTAAAGCGCGTTTCCGATATGTTACTGGTTAAATACAATCTCGGACACATCTATGGACCAACTTAGTGTGTTTTAAGTTTCAACGATCTGTAGCAAAAATATAATTAAGTTAGATTCAATGCAATTATAATATATTTTCTAAAACACATAAAAAAGATGTATGGTAAATTCAAAACTTTAGCGCAATGTAACATTTATTTTTAGCTAGGGACCGTCAAAACCGTATTGGTCAAAACTTATGGGCCGATAGTTCTGTCCGGCAGCATATAGAAAAAGCTTTTCGAAGTGAAACCTCTTTACGCACGCTTGACTTCGGGGGCAAACTGGCGAATGCGTTACGCGTTACGAATATTGTGTTCCGGCGGAGGATGGGAGTTAAGTGGGGGAGTTAATATGAGCAAGAGAAAGCTCTCTTATTTAGCTAGTAAATGAAATATGTAGATGAGGCCATGAGAACCATAGTGGCCTAACTCATTTTTTAACCATAGTGGACTATCTTACTTAGGCCAGTATGGCCCTCAAATTTAGATCACAGACTAAAAACCGAAATATTGATTATGCTGCCATCTAGTGAATATTCGTTGTATCACTTTTAGACCACTGTGGTTCTATCAAAATGATCAATTTGAACTGGAAAAAATCATAAACTCAATATTTAAAAAAAAAATGAGTTAGGCCACTATGGTTCTCATGGTCTCATATATTATACAAACATATTGTATATACATACAGATGGAGCTAAAGAAGTTTCACTTCAGTCGTGTGGTCATAAAACACTGTTTTTTTTAAACTGCATTGGACTTTTCTCGCATCTCGCCAGGGCTTGTTTACCGGTTAATTTTCAAACCTAAATCAATGTCAAGTACATTAGGAGCGTTTTATTTAGGTTTGGCTCTACCTTTACCTTAAAAAAACCGGTTTTCCTAAAAAGCGAAATCAAATAGGTTTTGAATCAATTTAGCGGTTTTTTAAACAATAAATGCATCAATCTCTGAGCATTAAAAAGTTGAAACTTGATTAGTTCAAACAAAACAAACTTCAAGCGATGCCGACGCGTGCACGTGTCGCTCTGGATTAAACCGGTTTATTGAGGTTTTAGGTACCGCTTTTATTTCGGACGCGCTCCGAACGAAACCTTTACTAATAACCGGTATTAACCTTTATTTACCGGGTTTTTTGAAACCGGTTTCAAGCCCTGCATCTCGCACATCGCTAGTAGGAAAGCGCGCCTATGTTCTGGCAACACCGCTTAGCTTTTCTTAAAGCCGTTGGGGTTGTTGCGTTGCCACCGCCAGGTGTCGTTGCACATATCATGTAGCGTCCTTGTCGCGCGCCAGCCTAACAGTTTGTGCGAGAGGGAGACGTCCGCATAGTTCGCAGCTATGTCTCCCGCTCGTCGGCCTACGATTCTGTATGGAATTTTACATCCGCTAGCCGCTTCGAAAGCGGATACCATTTGTAGGACAGAGTAACCGGCCCCGGTGCCTGAAATACGAATACAGGTTAGTATTTATATAATTATTGTTTTTAAGCATGTAACTAAAATGTCTTAAACATTTGAAAGAAGAAATAGCAATTATAGTTTGGGTTGTCTGGAAGAAATCGCGCGATAAGACTGCCTTTTGTACAATGTTGTATTTTTCTACTTATTTTGTTACTGTGTAATACTATACAGTTATATAAGCATGTAACTATTCGAGTCCCGTCTGCTGCCGGTTCCGCGTGATTTTTTTTCTAGTAATATTTTCTTTAGATTATACATCAAGCAGTTACATGCTTAAAAATACAAATTATAACTGTAATTACTTTTTCTTATTTCAAATGTTTTCTTTTTCTACTTGGCTTCGCACGGCTTGTGCATTTAGCCAATGTCAAGTGTTAAAATGTGTACAAATTCTATAGGACTCGTGGTCAAAGTAATAAATCAAGTCAAAGTAAGTGGCAGTCAAGTCAATCCCCCTTTCCCTATGTTTCAGTAAAAGTGTGGGGAATCACTGGAATCTCCCCGTGGACTTCTTGAGGGAACGTCGAAAGACACTTTCCGCTATTTTGTTTCACTTGCCAACACTTGTGCATGTTCCCGAACACTTAGTGGTTAATAATCCACCATTATTAGACACTAACATCCGCCACAACATTCGCTATCCGGGCGATGCACTGACCATTATGCTACCGCGGCCCTGACGCCGTGTCGAATTTTCTCTAGCATTTCTTAAGCTGCAAGGCATCCTCTTGCATTGTAAGTAACCCACAACGTCAAATGAATACCTTTACAAGTATTAAACATTTGAAAGAAGAAATAGCAATTATAGTTGAGGATCTGGCGAACAAAACGGTATAATTGATTACGCATGTGGTCAAAATACTTTTTTTTACACCCCGGAGGTTTTGCGCCCGCTGAATTTGAATTTCAGCTCATTTTCAATCAAAACCGCCTAAAACAGTGTTAAAATTACTAAATTTATAAATTAAAAACCATGCCAATATCTCACTGCAGGTATGCCATTCAGTTTTATACAGCTCCTGTAAAATTTAATTTTATGTAATCATACCGTTTTGTTCGCCAGCTCCTCAGTTATAATAGGGGTGATGACGGGGTACAGTAAACGTAATTCTATTTAGTCCGTCAGTTAGATGATCAAAAAATAATGGACACGTATTTTTTTTTTGGGCAATCAACCGAAAAATGACAAAGTTATAGCGCGTCAAAGTTTGGGAGTAGGGGCTCGTGACGTCACCTTTGAGTGAATTTTCACTTATAAGTGTACTCAAACGTGACGTCATGCGACTTTTCAAATCAAATATATCTCTGCAATGTTTATATTATGTGAAAAAAGAAAAAATACGTGTCCAATACTTTTTGATAATCTACCTGATAAACGAAGAAAAAAAAATTAGTCATCATCCCTATTGTATTTTTTTAAGCATGTAACTGCTAGGTGTTTAAATCAATTTATAATTATAAATGAGTGCATTTTTCGCCAACAAACTGTTAATCAGTTTGGCGAAATTATAAAGTGTAGTTAATAGTTTAAAATTGTAGTTGATAAATAAATTAAAAAAAAAAACCAGAAAAAGATAAGTATTTTACCTAGATTGACGGCGTGAAACCCGCTGAATCCGATTTGCGAGAACAGTTTAACCGCCTTTACGTGCCCGTCGGCCAGATCCGACACGTGAATATAGTCCCGCACGCCCGTCCCGTCGACCGTCGGGTAATCGTTGCCGAACACTAATAATTCCTTTAGACGACCCACTGCTACCTACAGTAATAATAATTTACTAGCAAACCAGTGAACCAAATGTTCACCAAAAAAAAAATGTATTTAATTAATTGAGAACTTCGGAGATTTTGTGTGGTTTCGTTTGAAATAGAAATCACGTGATTTCTCGAAAACCGGAAGTGCTACGTTACTCACATCCAGTTTGTAGTCTTATCAGACTATTCTTAACTTATAACTTAAACATTCTCTTTATCTATCTCTTACGGTTTGGCCGCTGAAACAGCACCACGGACGGACGGACGGACGGACTTGTCTAATAGATAAGAGATCACCGTTAATCATATATATAAAATTCTCGTGTCGCGGTGTTTGTGGTTAAACTCCTCCGAAACGGCTTTCCCGATTCTCATGAAATTTTGCGTGCATATTGGGTTGGTCTGAGAATCGGACAACATCTATTTTTCATCCCCCTAAATATTAAGGGTAATCCAATCTACCCCTAAATTTTTTTTTTCAATTTTTTTTTTTTTTTTTATTTTTTTTATGATACATCATACACAAATACATACAACCCTAAATTTTCACCCTTCTACCACCAACCCCTATTTTTTTTATGTCGGTACGAAGTTCGCTGGGACAGCTAGTATTAAATAAATATTTCCAACACTCACACCAATTAGCCTAGCCCCAAAGTAAGCACTGTAGGCTTGTGTTACGGGATAAGGTAAGAGGCTACCTTTATCTATGTAACAAAATGTATCGTAATGAAATAAATCAATTTTAGTTTTATTAAATAAAAAAAAGGCTAATCAAGAAGATGATATTTACCTGTGATATATACGGCATGAGGTTGTTGGGAGTTTACCTGTGATATATACGGCATGAGGTTGTTGGCAGTTTACCTGTGATATATACGGCATGAGGTTGTTGGGAGTTTACCTGTGATATATACGGCATGAGGTTGTTGGCAGTTTACCTGTGATATATACGGCATGAGGTTGTTGGGAGTTTACCTGTGATATATACGGCATGAGGTTGTTGGCAGTTTACCTGTGATATATACGGCATGAGGTTGTTGGCAGTTTACCTGTGATATATACGGCATGAGGTTGTTGGGAGTTTACCTGTGATATATACGGCATGAGGTTGTTGGCAGTTTACCTGTGATATATACGGCATGAGGTTGTTGGCAGTTTACCTGTGATATATACGGCATGAGGTTGTTGGCAGTTTACCTGTGGTATATACGGCATGAGGTTGTTGGCAGTTTACCTGTGGTATATACGGCATGAGGTTGTTGGCAGTTTACCTGTGATATATACGGCATGAGGTTGTTGGGAATTTACCTGTGATATATACGGCATGAGGTTGTTGGGAATTTACCTGTGATATATACGGCATGAGGTTGTTGGGAGTTTACCTGTGATATATACGGCATGAGGTTGTTGGGAGTTTACCTGTGATATATACGGCATGAGGTTGTTGGCAGTTTACCTGTGGTATATACGGCATGAGGTTGTTGGCAGTTTACCTGTGATATATACGGCATGAGGTTGTTGGCAGTTTACCTGTGGTATATACGGCATGAGGTTGTTGGCAGTTTACCTGTGATATATACGGCATGAGGTTGTTGGGAATTTACCTGTGATATATACGGCATGAGGTTGTTGGGAATTTACCTGTGATATATACGGCATGAGGTTGTTGGGAATGCCAGCAGGATCTTCTCCGATACGGCCGCTGATATGAGCTCCTACAGGGTTGAAGTACCGCAACGATATTACCATCCATTTCTACAAAAAGGTACACAAATGAAATAAAGATATACACAAGAGGACATTACAAAGTACGTAGCTCCGCCAACTAAAGGAGAGTCCAAGCTGAGATTTTTGAATTTACCCGAGCGTGGCAGAATAACATAAGGGAGGCAACCCAGTTTATATAAAAAAACCGGCCAAGTGCGAGTCGGATTCGCGCACCGAGGGTTCCGTACAAACTCAATTTAATACCTCTACGCGTTCATGAAAAAAGAGGTAGTAATTTAAAAAAAAATCAAAAATATTTTTTACCATATGATGTAACTAAAAATTTACGGTTTACGCAATTTTTCCTTTATCTGTACTATAAGACGTTACTTCGTACCAAACTTCAAGATTCTAAGTTCACGGGAAGTACCCTGTAGGTTATGATTCCTGTGCGAGTTTCGAAAATTTGCGGCATAAACGGCTGTACCTTTTGATTGCTTTGGCTTAGAAGTTTGATTTTTTCACAGCTCCAAGGGACAGTAGACCTGAGTATTAGATATGGATTTCAGTTTGATACCTCCACACGTTCCTGAGAAAAACGCTCTTGACAGACGGACGGACGGACAACAAAGTGATCCTATAAGGGTTCCGTTTTTTCCTTTTGAGGTACGGAATCCTAAAATTTTTTTATACAATATATTTTGAACTTACATACAAATTAGAAGAAAAGAAAATTTTATTACATAATTAAGTAAAAACTGCTTTAAAATTGAATCAACATTATTAAATAAATAGTACTAAAACATAAGTTTTATTGATAAGTTTAAACTCTAAACGCGTCACTTCTAGTAAAGACAAGGAGCATATTTTCGTTAGTATTTCTGTGGCAATCACTGACCTCTTTGACCTATTGGAGGCCCTGGGCATATTAGGATAATGGAGCCCCTAAGAACCCCGTTTGCTGATCTAACAGGAACTAGGGACTTTGTATTTGATCTGAAGTGGGCACTAGCACAAAGTGACCACTGGGAAAGACGGGTCTGGTGGCAATGCTTATCATCTGCACCAGAGTGAGACTTCTAGTGAATGAGTCGTTATGCTAACAAACAGTGGCGGATTCACAAATTTGCCGCTAATAAGCTATTTAATTTTTGCCGCCCCTACTGACCTTTGAAATTCAATACGCTAGTTCACAATTATATTTATTCTGAAATTGCAACTTTATGATTTGTGCTCTATCGTCCACATTACGTCGGCTTTTCCCCGTTAGTTTAAAAAAATACTAAATTTAAATTGTATTTAATATTGAAACGCTATTGGAATGTTTTAAAAATTCATGGTCGTTTAAGTACCTATATTTTACAGTGCGTTTAGTAATATTTTATATACGGATTACGGACGTAAGAGTGTTCAGTATACTATGCATTACTAAAATATTAAAAAAAATGTCAGACATTTTTCTGTGTATATTTTGGGCCAAATCTGCCGCCCTAGGCTCCAGCCTACTGAGCCTACTGGTAAATCCGCCACTGCTTGTAAAGAAAAGTTCTTTTGGATCTACCGACCGCATGTACGTTTTATATTTAGAGAAACAGACTAAGGATCTAAACAAAAAACAGACGAGACAGCTTTCAGCTTCCTAAATAAGATTTTGGAGTCCGTGAAAATGAATTGCAACGGAAGCTTCCTAATTCAGATTCTTACCGAATCACTGGTACAAAAGTTCTTCAAGATCTCCTCGCAGAAATACTTGGACTTGTCATAGGAGTTGGTTAGGATGTGGCTCGTGGTTTCATAGTTGATATCTCACTATATCTAGCTTCCTATTCCTAAACCAGACTAAAGATCTAAATAAAAAACAGACAAGACAGCTTTCAGAAATGAATTGCAACGAAAGTTGAACTTACCGAATCACTGGTACACAAATCCTTCATGATCTCTTCGCAGAAGTATTTGGACTTCCCATAGGGGCTGGTGAGGCCGCGGCCCGTGGGATGTGTCTCATTGATGGGCAGGCGCTCCGGTTCCCCATACACAGTACAAGAAGAACTGTACACTAGCTTGTATACGCTGTATTTACGCATCACCTGAAATGTAGGCATCATTCAATGCTTCAACCACGGAGCAAATAGGAGAAGATATAATGAGCTGTTGTATTATTGGAATTCTTTGCTTACGTAATGCCTACGGCTGGCAGTTACATTAATAAGTAAATGTCATTATTTTAAAGATTTGTGTCGACGCTTGTGTCTCCAATTTGCACAACGAAAAAAACGAAACGTAACGGGTGAAAGAAGCCACGAAGAAGACCCGCGCATTCGAATTTTATACGGCGCACAATACGCATATAATTTTTTCTATCATTAATTTTACTGTAATTTATACGAAATTAAACGTCTTAGGAAGTACTAGCAAACCAGTGAACCAAATGTTCACCAAAACCTGATTTAAAAAAAAAAAAATAATAATAAAAAAAATGTATTTAATTAATTTAGAACTTCGGAGATTTTGTGTGGTTTCGTTTGAAATTCGTGATTTCTCGAAAACCGGAAGTGCTACGTTACTCAAATCCGGTTTGTAGTCTTATCAGACTATTCTTAACTTATAACTTAAATATTCTCCTTATCTATCTCTTACGGTTTGGCCGCTGAAACAGCACCACAGACAGACGGACGGACGGACTTGTCTAATAGATAAGAGATACGAGTACCTCATTAGATAGGAGACCTGACTGTCCCAAACAATTTGAATACAGGAATCTTTTTGACTTTTATCGAAGATTCCAGCAGATAGAATTCAGGCACAAAAGGTCATGTTAATAATACGGAGATCTTGTAATTCGCTCCCATTTTGAAATAAAACAATCAATAATAATTCGTGGTTATTATTCAGAATTGTACAACGCTCGCAATGAGGATCTCGATGGCGCAGGTGGTTAGCGCGTTAGGCTGCGATCGTTGAAGTTAAGCAACTTTCGCAGTGGTCGGTCATTGGATGGGTGACCAAAAGTTTCTATCTCGAGTTCCTCCGTGCTTCGGAAGGCACGTTAAGCCGTTGGTCCGCAGTCGTTAGCACCCGTCAATCCGCACTGGGTACGCGTGGTGGGTCATGGCTCAATCTCCCTATTCCATCCATGGGGAAGGCCTGTGCCCCAGCAGTGGGGACATTAAGAGGCTGATGATGATGAACAAAGCTGCGCTACCAGGCCTATCCCTTCAGGATAGATTACTACAGTACCACTTAGAGGGGGTTCATGGATCATTATGGAACGCTAACAGCCATTAACGGAAATAATAGTTAATTTTAAGTGTGCTTTGGAACTGGAGTGTGACATCACAGTAATCAGACAACAAATTCTATTTTTGAAGAAATTTCTCACGGGACGAGGATTGTAAGCGGGGTTCTAAGATTCTCAGTATTCCTAAAAACCTACCTCGCACAGCGTGCAAAGATTCTCAGTATTCCTAAAAACCTACCTCGAACAGCGTGCAAAGATTCTCAGTATTCCTAAAAACCTACCTCGAACAGCGTGCAAAGATTCTCAGTATTCCTAAAAACCTACCTCGAACAGCGTGCAGAGATTTTCAGTATTCCTAAAAACCTACCTCGAACAGCGTGCAAAGATTCTCAGTATTCCTAAAAACCTACCTCGAACAGCGTGCAAAGATTCACAGTATTCCTAAAAACCTACCTCGAACAGCGTGCAAAGATTCTCAGTATTCCTAAAAACCTACCTCGAACAGCGTGCAAAGATTCTCAGTATTCCTAAAAACCTACCTAGAACAGCGTGCAAAGATTCTCAGTATTCCTAAAAACCTATCTCGAACAGCGTGCAAAGATTCACAGTATTCCTGAAAAACTACCACGAACAGCGTGCAAAGATTCTCAGTATTCCTGAAAAACTACCTCGAACAGCGTGCAAAGATTCTCAGTATTCCTAAAAACCTACCTCGAACAGCGTGCAATGATTCTCAGTATTCTTAAAAACCTACCTCGAACAGCGTGCAAGTCCCAGCGATGTTGGCTTGATAGTACTCCAATGGTTTCTGCACCGACTCGCCGACTGCCTTCAGTGCAGCGAAGTGTATCACGCAGTCGATGCTGTGCTGGAACACATCAGTTAAGGTAAACGTCATTCAATTAAACGATAGCTTCTTTTTGAAGTTTATATTTCTTTAGGCGCGTTATGAAAAAATGATGAGAGTGAAATGTTAAGATGCGCGCGCATCACTGTAACACAAGAGTGTGTTACTCTTGTGTTACAGTGATGAAGTTGGCCGCTAAATATTAAGTCTCGAAGAAAAGCTACCAACAAAATAGAAATAGAATCTCTATTAGTCGCGCATGTTGTCACGCTCGCGCTCGTCGCCTCCGATCACTGTTTTCATATTTATAATATTTATCCACATAATATTTCCAACACTTACACCAATTAGCCTAGCCCCAAAGTAAGCACTATAGGGCTTGTGTTATGGGATGCTAGGGTAACGGATAGAATACATATATTGTACATATATAAGTATATTTATATAGAAATACATATTAAACATCCATGACTGGAGTATAAATGCTCGTATTCATCACACAAACATCTGCCCCCACCGGGATTCGAACCCGAGACCTCTCGAGTTGGCGACACCATTAAACCCGGCGTACAAACCACTTGGCCACGGAGGTCGTCAAATGTTTCAGTTTCATACAACTGCGAATAGGGATAATGACTAATTTTTTTTTTCTTCGTTTATCGGGTAGATTATCAAAAAGTGTTGGACACGTATTTTTTCTTTTTTCACATAATATAAACATTGCAGAGTATTATTGATTTGAAAAGTAACATGACGTCACGTTTTGGTACAATTTTCACTTAAAAGTGACGTCACGAGCCCCTACTCCCAAACTTTGACGCGCTATAACATTGTCATTTTTTGGTTTGATTGCCCAAAGAAAAATTATGTGTCCATTATTTTTTGATCAACTAACTGACGGACTAAAAAGAATTTCGTTTACTGTACCCCGTCATCACCCCTATCATATATGTGCTAATAAATTATATTCAGTAGTGATTTAAATTGAATATTTTGATTGTTTATTTAATTTTTCAAATTCAAACTGAACTTTATTGACTGTGTTGACTATGCTTTTCCAGTCCTTTTATTATTTTATTGTAATTGATTATTTGCATGCAATTAAAAACCCTTTTTTAATGATGCCAAAAAAGTATACCTTACATAAGTTCATGCACCCGTTTTATATCTGGGTAAGAAAATGACTCTACCGCATCTGATGTTAAGTGGTGGCAAAATCCAGACGCGAAGATAGCTGGTGCAGCAGTTATAAACTGCCACACCAACCTTCCTCACCATGCCGGCCTGCAGAAATGCTTCTTGACGCCTCTTTTAAGGGCCCCTTCTTTATGCTTGGAGGGTTTAAGTTCTTGGTGTATTATTACATAAGTTCTTGCAATTAAGAAAACACATTAGATGTTGGCACGGGCAGAGAGAGGACTCCTCAAACTACGTACGGTGGTCTGCGTGGAATTTTTCTAGTAAAATATTATTTAGTTTACACGTGTAACATTTAACTGTTAAAAAATAAACCCCTCCATTCGGAACGCGAAAAAACTCACCGTTTCAAATATCTTGCTCAACGCATCGGCATCTCTGATGTCCACATCATAAAACTGTATAGTCTGGTTGGTCATCTCCTCAATAATCTTGATGGCTTCAGGTTTCTTCTGTCCATTCTCCTTGTGCGCGTTGATCAGGTTGTCTACAACCACTATTTCCAGGTCTTGTTCGTTGTCCCGCTCTAAGAGGGCGGCTACAGTGTGAGAGCCAACGTAACCCGCTCCGCCCGTCACTAAGATCGCCCGCGACATGACGCTGCTGGGAACAAAACTGAGGTATAAGGATGGGCGCATGTACACGACTTTCTGATTCGGTTTCCTGATCAGGAATTCCGATTCGGAGACCAGGGGGGCAATCGCCTAACGGGTTTGCTATCGCTTACGATTTTTTTTCCGACCACCAAACGTCAAATGGTATGCGCTCTATTTTGTTTCTTTTGAAGTGAATATAACAATATTGAAAACAGGAACGAATATTTGAAAACATTCGGCGGTCAGAAATAACAAAATGAAATCGTAAGCGATAGCGATAGCCATAGCAGTCTCTTTAGGCGATTGACCTCCTGAATGCACGTCCTTACATACGAAAGTTCTACGAAGAGCACACTATTCTTATTTTTCAGAACGGAAAACCTAACGTTCGGTTGGGAAACCTAATCAAAAACCGAAAGGTCTGCGCAAAACTTACGGTATTCGGAATCTGAATTCCTGATCAGGAATCCAATTCAGGACATGTGTAGACCTTTAGGAGTCCATACACGGACATGCACAGTGAACTGGTCTTCTACGTACACAAAAACATGGAACCGCTTGAACTCCTCTCAAATATTCTTCTATTTTTTGAGGGGGGAAATATGCACACATACGCATTTCAACGTACACGCACATAAAACAATACTGTAGCTACGACGTTCACCCATAAACAATGACATACAATTTTATTTCACAACTTATCGCTAAGACAATGAAGCATTAACTGAGCGAGCGTATCGTAGCCACGTCGGCTTATGAACCGTTCCACGCTGATGACGTCGTGACGTGGAGATATGGACTGCCTTTAAATAAATTTCGCAATAGTCGGCCACACGATGAGTGTCATCAAACTCATTATCTGCAACTCCTCCGTGCATCATTCTGAAGGCATGTTAAGTCATTGGTCCCGACTGCATCTGCAGTAGTCAAAACGTTTCAATAGCACTGAGGGGTAAAAAACGGCCTCATAGATGATATTGCCTCGGTATTTCTGCTTATTCAGCCACTTCCTTAGCTTTGGGATCAGGGTAATATTTAATATTATCCAAAGTTTATAAAATCAGTCATAATATATTATTATTAGTGACAGAGACAACGACACCTCAATTTCTTTATACCTACTTGATTATAACAGAAAAAAAGAGGTTAATTTCTAACATCCTCAGATTATTATGTCTAAAGAAAGTTATATTTGTAACATTTTATAGGTTAACAATTTTAATTTCATGAACTTAGTTATAAAATGATCAAAGCCAAGACAGTTTCAAGACTATAACGTTACCACATTGCGAGAAGTCTGCTAAACATTGTTGTTTAAAAAACACAACGCGGAATCCGTTCGCAAAACAAACTAAAGTTGGTTTAAAATAGCAATAGGGTTGTCGATATGCAACAAGTTTATCTATATATATAAAACTCAAAGGTGACTGACTGACATAGTGATCTATCAACAGCCCAAACCACTGGACGGGACGGGCTAAAATTTGGCATGCAGGTAGATGTTATGACGTAGGCATCCGCTAAGAAAGGATTTTGATCAATTCTACCCCCAAGGGGATAAAATAGGGAATGAAAGATTTTATGAAACTTTGTCAATTTTAAAGCGATCGGGCTGAGACTTTGCATGTAGGTATAAGAAGAATCATAGATGATTGTCATTGTGTATAATTCAAGCCTGAGAACAAAAACTGTAGTCTACACTTCAGCTCTACACCGAAGCGAAGTGAGGGCGGGCCGCTAGTTTCTTATATATTCACGTACAGTAACAATTTTGTACAAAACTTTTTGAACCTATAAAACGCTTTTATTAGATTTCATACAGTATTCTTCACATTTCGGATCCTATACAGACTTTGTAGTCAGTTTGGTCTCAAGACTAAATCTTTTTAATCATAATTACCTTCGCACCAAAATGTTTAAGGACAAGGAGTACGGTCTTTTATGTATGTTTCCTCCAAATTGACCCTTTAATAATAGTAATAAATAGTTCAAAGTTTTCCAGGTTTTTGCAGTCATTTACTATGTGACTTGATAAAAAACAACATTGAATAAGAGCGTGATAATGATACACTGATAACAATAACACAAACACCGGAATTCCTATGAAACAAAATATCAAGTATCTTTTGAATATTCGGATATCCGGATCCGGGATGACTTCCGGGATAATCATAGTCATGGATGGTGTCTATGGGTGAAAGATAGTTTTTTTTTATATGACAACCCTAAAGTCTTATAAGAAATACAAATATGAGAACTTCAGTACAGTTACGACTACGTCGGAAAATACAATTTGGATTGTGGATAATAATGCGAAGAGGTGGCGCTGCCTTGCAACCTAAGGCTAGAGAAAATTCGACATCAGGGCCGCGGTAGCATAATGGTCAGTGCATTCGCTCGGATAACGAAGGGTGCAGCTTCGAGTCCCGCCTGCTGCCTGGTCCGCCTGGATTTTATTTTCTAGTAAAATTTTCTTTAGATTTAAACCTCTAGCAGATAAATGTTTGAATAAATAATAATATAAATACAATTTGGCTTTGAGGGCACGTTTATGAAGTACCAATAGGGACTAAATTTGTGTGGCAAATGTATCATTTGTCATCTCGTAGGCTATGTGTGAAAGAGTGTTATTAATTATACCAGTAAACATGAGCCTATTTTGGGTATAAATGCTTTGGGTATAATCTAAGATTTTGGTTACTCTTGCTAGACCTTAAAGCACCGAAAGCAATTTTTTCTAATGCATAACTAATCTACGAGTAGGTTCGTATTGACAATACGACGAAAGGGCAACAAGTCAATATTGAGGATTTTCTTTTCGATGACATAGAGAAAATAATGCACACACATACATATAACGATCGATTGCCTGGCTGCGTTCCATCAAAATTTGAGCGGCCCAACCAAGCCTGACCTAGTACAATCCTGGGCATATCCTGGTCCCACGATGAGATTTAACCTATACAATTTTACTTATAACTTACCCATACGAACTAATATGGGCCGACAATTTGGTATTATTTTACATAAAAATAATGGAGGAAACCTTCCCAAACGGGTTCGTGTCTCCACTAAAAATATTAAAAGTAAAAATGTTTTGCTTGTCCTTGTAAAAAATCGCTATTTTTCTGCTGATCAGTTTTGCTTTTCAGTTAAAGTTTAGTGTGACTAGGTTACTTGTTACTATTGAGAAATCTGTGGTATTATTACCCTTGGCGATAACAGAAACACTCAGAATAGGTAATAAATATTTATTGCAGAACTGGTACTGGAACTTCTTACGTTACAAAAATTATGAAGTTAAATCTATGGTTGCAAAGCCGTACATTTATTTTCAAAAGCAAACATGGTATCAAAAGATTTCTTTTTTCTGCAACAGAAACAAATGTCGGCAACGCATTCGCAAACTAAATCATTCGGTATGGAAATCCAAAAACCTTTTCCAAGTACCACCCCAGCTGGTGTTAACCTCCACCAGACACGAAGATAAAGCTATCTTCACCCCCAAAGCCCGCAAGATGCTACTTAGCGCCTCTTTTAAAGTGCAACGATAAGTATACAGGAACTCGAACGGAACGAAATCCATTTGCGTATGATGGGACAAAAAATACATCTATGATTCGTAATGCGTTACCAGTTTTGTTTTGCGTTGACCTAGGTTATATACAATAACTATAAGTTTCTTATTTATGTTAAATGGATGGCAAACAAGCCTATAGACGCTTGCGATGACAAAAATATCATTCGCAACGTTGCATACCCTGACCTAAATCTCCTACCCCATGAAGTTATTGATAATTAATGTATTACCACCATATCGTGATGAACACAACAAAGCTTAGTTCTACATAAGGTCGAAATTAGAATGACAAAAAGAAACGCTCACGTTTTGTTTCAGCAACAATTGACGGCTCTGTATGAAACAAAACAGGGAGAAAAAAAATAGCCCTTGCTGAGCTTCTTGCCGGTTCTTCTCAGTACAAGGTCTCCCGCCGTAGATTTACGAACCGATGGCGTAGCGTTTGACTATCACAAGAGCTTGTAACAGCCTAGACTGTATAAAGAGTTTGAGTTTGAACAAATATAATAAATTACAATGTGACTATTCAATTTGATGTTGACATATGCTATGGTTTAGCTCAAGCAATTGTGTCAGTAAGTAAATTCATATGTACAAACACTGTACGCAATATACTTTATCACCAATGGTGTGCAAAAAACATTTTTAAGGTATTGAGATATAATCATTTATAGTTAATTACATTAAAATATAATTTGAATGTGTTTCTTTATTGACTATCTAAATAGCGACAAAAGACTGTAGTATTTTGGTAAGAGTATCCAAAATTGTACCCGTCTTTTCAAAAGCTCATCTTACGAGATAGGTTTTTTTTTAATTTATTAAGATGTAGTGTACTACTTATCCGCACACTAATCAAGGTAGTGTGTGGATCATTTCCTGTGACGATTTAGGTATGGCAGCAATCGGTAATACCATTTCGTGGATAGCAAAAATTCTATGGACTATATCAGTTTATTACGGTGATCGCATAGCATCAAAATTATAGCGAAATATACCTACTTCCTGAATTGTCTTATCGGTTGATAGATTATAACTATTATTATTATTGATACCAGAATTTAAAAACTATTTCAGTCATAAATCCAAAAGAAGAATCGTTTAGCGACAGTATGTATACGCAACAGGAATCGATCGTGTTTCATTTTTTTTATTTATTTTTTTGTTATAGATAGGTCCGACAAATGACTCCACCCCACCTGATGTTAAGTGAAGGTGAAGTCCAGACGTGAAGATAGCTGATACAGCAGTTTTACCTGCCACGCCAGCCATCCTCACCCTACCGGCCTGCATGTTACTTCTTCACGCCTCTTTTAAAGGATCCCAGGTTGTAAGAGGGAGGGAACACGTGAGCGGGCAGAGCATTCCATTTACGGATAGTGCGACAAAGAAATGAGTCACCAAATTTCTTTGTACGCGCGTAATGA